AACTATTACAAAATGTAACTATTATAAAATGCTTATCTATCAATCTGACAAAAATTAAGGATATGTATCACAGTTCACAAAGATCAAAAGCACTTGAATGATTTTACTGAAAATTCTAGAATAGCAAAAACATGATCAAATTATGTAGAGACACTTTCAATGAGCAAACACATAATTGAGTCGCGTCATGACAAAACCAACATAATGGGTTTGCGACCAGCATGGATCCAGACCAGCCTGCGCATCCGCGCAGTCTGATCAGGATCCATGCTGTTCGCTGAAAAACCCTATAACAAGAAGAGAAACTGATAGCGAACAGCATGGATCCTGATCAGACTGTGTGGATGCGCAGGCTGGTCTGGATCCATGCTGGTCGCAAACGCATTACGTTGGTTATGTCATGGCACGGCTCATATCATGATCCAGTGAAAATATAAACCATCCTTGTTAGACTATGGAAAGTTTTTACTATTTTAAATGGAAAGACATACCTTGAATTCAAAAAGAGGCCAGACTCATTTCATACCTTGAATTCAAAAAGAGGCCAGACTCATTTCAGGATTGCTGGCCACATTGTTCCAACCCTGTCGAAAGCTGTTGTTTCCGTGAGCAAGAAACTTGACACTCATTGCTTAGTACTGGTTGGTTCCAAGAATGGATTCAAGAGGGATTCAAAAGATTTATATCTTCCAATACAATCAAACTAAAATGAATTCATATAAACTAAATGGACTTTTGGAACTGTCCATTTCAATCGTAGGGATGAAGATGAAAAATTAATGCTGTGAAGCCAACAGAATAGAGCCTGGTTTTAGACTACACAAATGTGCAGGATGACCTCAGGCTCTTTACTGTTGGCAAAAGCTAATCACTTCTCCATGGTCCCATTATGGATTTGGTCTTATCATCTAGTAAAAACAGTAAATCAAAATGGCACATTCATAACTGTAAAAAAAAATTAAAACAAGATTGCATTTGAGAAAAATGCTATGCCACCGCATTAATGCAACACTAAATAGTGGTGTACGAATAGATTTTTTTTGTTCCTTTACAATTGAAGATTGTCATAATGCATAGATCCCTGACCTATCTAATTCTTATTATCAGATTAGTGGTTAAATATATTGTTATTCCAATAAAAGATCAGAGTAGGAATATACCAATGCACTTGAGTCTAGTGAATTCGGTGGTGAAGGTCATATTTCACACAGCTTAAATTTCACGACTACATCAAAGGACAACACAGAAAGACACTTTGTCAAAATCTAGGTCAGCTGATATCAAAGTTCACTTTACATCTTAATCTGTGCACATGGTTTCATAGCTGTACATCAAAGGACAAGAAAGTAGGTCACATCATCAAAATCTAGGTCACCTGATATCAAAGTTCAATTTTACAACTAAAACTGTGCACATGGTCAAAATTTCATAGCTGTACATCAAAGGACAAGAAAGTAGGTCACTGTCCCCTTGGGGCAAGGCCAAGGGTTTCATTCAAAACAATCTTGATACAGGTCCACCAAACAACATTTTAAGTCAAATATCTAAGCTGTAGCTTTCTTCCCATTTTTACTATATACATTTAAGGAAAACCTATGGCCCCCAAGGCAGGGCAATTTTGACACTAGAGGCAAAATTTGAACAACTTTGGTAGAGTACCTTAAGATGATATCATTTAACAAAATTTAATATTAAAGCTCTAAGCCTTGTACCTTCAGACAATAAGATTTTTTTATTTTTTACTATATGTATATATTGAAAATCAATGACCCCCAGGGCAGGGGCAATTTTGACCCCAGGGCTATAATTTGAACAATCTTGCTAGAGATTCTCTTCACAATGTTCATGCAAAATATCTAACCTCTAGCATTTGTCAATTGCTAGAAGAATTTTTTTTAAAGTTTTTACTATAAGTTTTTACTCTATACATATAAGGAAAACCAATGACCCCGGGGCGGGGCCGTTTTTGACCCCAGGGCTATAATTTGAACAATCTGGGTAGTGGTCTACCAGACAATGCCTTATGCAAAATATCTAAGCTCTAGGCCTTTTGGGTCTTTACAAGAAGATATTTTAAGTTTTTACTATATGTACATATAGTGAAAATCATTGACCCCCGGGCGGGGCCAATTTTGACCCCAGGGCTATAATTTGAACAATCTTGCTAGAGATTCACTTCACAATGTTCATGTAAAATATCTAACCTCTAGCATTTGTCAATTGCTAGAAAAAGTTTTTTTTTAAGTTTTTACTATAAGTTTTTACTCTATACATATAAGGAAAACCAATGACCCCCGGGGCGGGGCCTTTTTTGTCCCCAGGGCTATAATTTAAACAATCTGGGTACAGGTCTACCAGACAATGCCTTATGCAAAATATCTAAGCTCTAGGCCTTTTGAGTCTTTACAAGAAGGTATTTTAAAAGTTTTTACTATATGTACATATAGTGAAAATCAATGACCCCCAGGGCGGGGCCAATTTTGACCCCAGGGCTATAATTTGAACAATCTTGGTAAGGGTCTACCAGACAATGCCTTATGCAAAATATCTAAGCTCTAGGCCTTTTGGGTCTTTACAAGAAGGTATTTTAAGTTTTTACTATATGTACATATAGTGAAAATCAATGACCCCAGGGCGGGGCCAATTTTGACCCCAAAGCTATAATTTGAACAATCTTGGTAGAGGTCTACCAGACAATGCCTTATGCAAAATATCTAAGCTCTAGGCTTTTTGGGTCTTTACAAGAAGATTTTTTAAATTTATTCTTACAATTTCTTTTGGTTGCCATGGCAACCAGATTTCTGCATGGAATGAAATTCTTTGAACAACTTTGGAAGTCCTTCACCCAAGGATCAATCCTGCCAAGTTTGGTTGAAATTGGACAAGTGGTTTTTCACAAGAAGATTTTTTAAGTTCACTATATAATCTATATAACACACAAACAAACAAACACACACACAGGTGAATCGCTATATGCCACCGCATCGCAGGTGCTGCGGTGGCATAAAAATTAAAAAACATATTTTATAGCTTACACTCTGTTAAGTTACAAGATACTGTCCACTGGCTTTATAATACTGATATCACAGTAAAATTTGCTATATTTTGTTTTTTGGGGGGGGGGGGGATTTTTTTTCCCCATGAACAAGTAGATATGTATAGAGGATAATTTAAGTTTTTTTCAATAAATACAGGATTTATTTTCATAGAGAGGTATGAAAATAAATATTTCATGAGTGGCAGTAGTGAAATATGATAATTTTCATCACTCAAGATGAAAATAAATCCCGTATTTATAGGAAAAAACATTGAATTTTCTGTTTATTATATACATTTTGTCTTTTCTGACCTTACAACTCAAAAGATTTCCCCTCTAATTTTGTGTATTGGCTGAATTAAGAACAAGAGCTGTCAAAGGAGACAGCGAAGCTCGACTTATAAAATACTAGACGCAGTAAGGAAGACAAAACTATGAAAGAACAATCAATTATGTATAACTATGTCTTAAGTTATAGTTAAAAAATAACATTGTTAACATAAATTACAAGATCAAGGGGAATAATTTTGGAAATAGTCACACTAGAGTTATGAACCTTGTCACACAACATGTGTTTAATGATAAGAAATATATACCGGTATTTGAAGTTTGAAGTAGATACCTTAAAAAGTAAAGAAGTTATAATATTTCTTAGAGAAAATCCTAAGTTCAAAGAGAGATAAATCTGTAAATATTTCTTTAAGAGTTATGAACCTTGTCACATAAAATGTAATTGATGATAAGGAATTAGTATTTGAAGTTTGAGGTAGATACCTTTTAAACTAAAAAAGTTATAGTAAAAAATAACATTTTTCAAGTGAAAAAATCTAAGTTTATGGGGAGATAATTCTTGCAATATTGGTGCTAGAGTTATGAACCTTTTCAAATAAGATGTGGATGATGATAAGGTATATATATTTGAAGTATGAAGTTTATCCCTTAATAAATAAATAAGTAACAATTAAAATATAATATTTTGTAAGGAAAATTCTAAGTTCAAGGGGAGATAAATCTGAAAATATTGGTGCTAGAGTTATGAACCTTGTCACATAAGATGTGGTTGATGATAAGGAACATATATTTGAAGTATGAAGTAGATCTCTTAAGAAATGACAAAGTTATAGTGAAAAATATTTTACTGCACCAAAACTTTAATCTGAAATCTGAACGCCGACGCCGAGGAAAGTAGGACAGCTCTCCATAAACTTCGTATAGTCGAGAGATAAAGGAGTACAGCAAGACACCAGTGAAAATTTTATGGCAGTGAAAAATAAATTTTTAGAGTAAGGAAAATGAAAATACACATTTTACTTCAACAATATTTCATAATTTCATTATTAGTATATAATAAATTCTTGAATTTTGTATCTCCAATTAAAAAAATTTTTTGCATCCACTCTTCATGATATAAACATGACAGGACAATATATTGCTATCAAAAATATATTTCACCTATAAAAAACAACAAACAAGATCACCAAAAGCATTGTTAACGCTCATCTGACAAAGGCAATGACTTACCAAGCACCAATTTTAACAAAAATAGTCTAAATTTAAAAAGAGACATTACTCCAAAAATATAACTTTCAGAATAATGTCCCTTGTCTTACAATATATGCTAGTATTCCATGGTGAACATGTTACAATGTTTTTTATATTACTTATGTTGTAATTACCATTTGGGAACCTGATTTTTCTTAAAACAAATTTGATATAACTGAATATTACCAGTAAATTCATCAAAAATAATTAATACAATTTTTTGAACATGTAGTCATTTACATAATTTTCATAAAAATTTATGTAAAAAGGATAAAAAAGCATGCAGAAATCCAACAGGATATTTTTGAGCTTAGAAAACCTTGAATATTAGTCTCTTTTACAATAAAAGTTAAATGAACAAATTTTCTTTAGAAGACTGGCTTCAATAATGGATTTTAAACAATGCTAGACTGTGACCTCTTCAATATATGATGCTGGGACCCCAACCTTCATTTCCTGCAGTTTCAACAAACCACCAGTCTGGATCCTCTTTGTCTAACACATTCACATCCTGTCCTTCACTTACACTTAATTCACCATCATTTTCTGCTATAAATTCCGCATTAGCTTTAAAGACAGTCTGTGTTGTACTGAGAGACTGTGAACCAGTCCAACTGCCTGGTTCCTCACTGGTTCCAGGCCCTACTTTCTCTAAATAAGTGGATGGTGCCCAGCCTTCGTTTCCTCCAATACTTACATATGACCAGCCCTCTGCAGTTTCTAAAAGTTCAACCTGCTGGCCTTGCACAAGTCTTATCTCTCCCTCATTATGTCCTGCAAAATCAGCAATAGCAGTGTACAGATTATCACTACCTACATTGTTATTTTCAATGTCAGAATCACTTTTAAGATTATTTATAACCTCTTCATCAGCTGGTGTGAGATAAGAGCTTTCTTCAACAACAGGCCCTTTAACACCAAGTTTTGCTTTTAATGCATTTGCAAGATTAGAAACTCCAACCGGTTTAGAATCATCATTAGAATCACTACCGTCACTTGAATCTGCCCTTCTGAAATGAGCTGCTGGACCTGGAGACTTTGGTTTAACTGGTAATGCTGGGAATACCTTCCCTGCGGGTTTGCTTGTTGTGTCCATCTTAACTGGAGGATTTGGTTGTGGTGGCAGTGGGCGGGATGAATATTTTTTGGGATCCAAACCTTCATTATCTTTGATTCCAGAGGAATTTGATCTTGCAATAGGTGGAGAAGGAAGTTGTCTCCCTTGATTTTTTCGTAAATTGCTCCTTGGTGATGGAGGGGTGGATGGCCGTGCTGGTTTCTGGAATGGTTTAATTGCAGCTTTTGAAGGTGGTAATGGTTTACTTGCCCTTTGACCTATTTCATTTCCAGGTGAATCCCCTACATTTTGTCTATTTTCAAACTTTGCTTTAAGGACATTTGCTAAGTCACTTACTTTATGTGCCCCAGTATCATCATCATTTGATTCTGATTTCCTTGGTTTAGGCATGTCTATATTACTTTTTGTTGATAAAGGTCTATTTGTAGTTGGTGGTGACATATTTTCAGGCTTTTTCGCCCAAGGTTTTGTAGGCATCGGAGGGCCTAGACCAGAGTTTCTTGGCTTTGAAGGTATGCTAGGATTTCCAAATCCAGGTTTCTTAATAGGTGGCGGAGGCCCAGGTGTTACTTTAGGATTTACATTTGGTTTTGGAGTTTGTGTTTCAGGCTTTTCATTACCAGATGCTTCAAACCTTGCTTTCAACATCCAGCTAATCCAGCAACATTACCTGCTGCTTGTTCACCACCATCTCCAACTTTACTTTTTACTGGCGGTTTTGGTTTCAAGTTACTAGTAGCAGGTTTAGGGGCAACGCTAACACTGTCAAACTTGCTTTTAAAGCACTTCCATTCCTGCAACACTGTTTTCGCTTTCATTTGATGGCTCTGAAGTTTTCACAGGAACTTTAGGCTTATTGTCATTCTGTTTAATTGGTACTACAGGCTTGGGTTTTTCATTGTGAGGTTTCATGGGCAATGAAGGCGGTTTTGGTTTATTGTCTAATTTTGTGTCATTCTTTTTTGGAGGAGTTGGTTTTAGTGCAGCACCAAATGGAGAGGGTTTATGGTCATCTGATGTTTTAACAGGTGATGATGGGGGTTTCAGGTCTCCTTTTACTTTGGCGGGTGGCACTGGGAGGTTTGGTTTCAGGTTAATAGGAGGAGCAGGGGGTGGGGGTTGCATGCTCCTATTAGCAGGTGGTGCAGGGGGCGGAGGCTGGCTACTTCTATCTGCAACCTTCTTTAATCCCATGTGTTGTCCTGGTAACTGAAAGCCGCCAGGAATTTGTAGTTTTCCTGACTCAAAATGTCCACTTTTGTTCTTTTCTTCCTTAGTATCATTATCAGTAAGGAAGTCTTTCTTTGGTGGAGTGGGTGGTTGCTTATTTCCTTTAGAAAGTTTATTTTTGATTGCACTCGCTAAATCACCGACAGTGGATGTCCGTCTGCTATTTTCGTCTGAATCTCCATTTGTCAAATCTTCTCTACTTCTTGATGGTGAGGAACTTTTCTGCTAAGTGAAAAAAACAAAACAACTTATTAATACTAAAGAGGAAATCTAGAGAATCTTTATTTACAAACTGTTTTTATTAAATAATCTTTTTCAAATTATTAGTAGTCCTTACATTTTTTAAGAAGAAGCTTTTGGTCTTCATCAAAAGCTGTTATAATTTCGGTCTTTTTATACTTATTTAGTGTACAATCTCCACGCATATTTATCACATGTTTATGACAAGTCTTTCACCTCAATATTCCAAGGTAATGATAATATCTAAAATATCTTAAACCAATATCCTTATCCAAAAAAAAATCAAATCTGGATACTGAACCTAGATTTGAAATTCAAGATATCCTGACTCCAGATGACATCTAGATCGATGCCTTGGTGCGAAAGGGTTGTAACTCATAATTTCACCGAAAATGGTTTTATGGTGTTTTTCAATGAAGGAGCAATATACACACATGTTGTAAAAATATTAAACTTGAAAGCTAAAATTAAACTACCACAAAAGTATATTGTCCAAAGGTTGTAACTCAAACAGACATATTTTGTTGGTGCGAAACGGTTGTAACTTAAGTTACAACCGTTTCGCACCAACATTTTGATAATATTTTGAATAAATCCTAGTGCAAAACAGTTGTATCTCAATATCTTATAAATATTTAGTGGATTTAATTTCTTTCAAACTAATTGACAAGTTAATAAAACAGTCTCAGCTTCTGATTCCTTGTTATTTACATAATTGTTGAGCTTTCATTCAGACAAAATACAAGAATTTGAATAACTTATACATATTATAAACATAAATCAATTCCAATGCTTATAAAAGAAACAATATCATAGCACATTGCTTTATTTGACTAACAGTACTATTATAGTGGATTTTTTTCAACATAAAAATTGTCATTGGTATAATGTTGCAAAATAGCAAGAAAAAGTAATGGAACTATTTTTGGTTTTATGAAAATGAAATAACCGTAACTCAAAATAAATTTATTATAAACAATTACCATACAATATATTATGATTGTATCATAGTTTGGAGACTTTTGAAAACATGTCAGAGTTAAATTGCATACCAATACATGCACAGTGCTTTAACAGAGCTTGCTTGGTAACTGGTTCATTTTTTCTGGTTTCTACATATTGTGATGACAGGGATAAGAGAAAGAGAAAGGGAAGGAGATAACAGTAGAAAAGTCATATTCAGATGCTTATACATTTGGTACATTTTTTCTTGGATGACTGGGAATGTGTTTTTATTTTTGCCTAAGATACAAAAGAGAAAGAACATCAAAACAATCGGCAATCTGATTTATACTCTCATACAAATCCGTCAGTCTAGTGTTTCGATGCTTTTTTAATTACTAAATGTTAGAATAACTTAAAGAAATTATACAATTATTACTCAATTCTTGATTTGGTTTTAAACTTACATGAATTACTATTGGAATATTTTCATGTATTGTCAAAGACAAATTGTATAAATATTGTACTAAAATTTATTTACGTTACAAGACAATGTCTGACTAGATATGTGAACAAATTTTTCTTTGACAACTTATTGTAAACAGTAAGTTTAGATACATATACATAATAATAAAATAATTATGTATAGACAAAAGTATTACAATATAACAAAGGTGTTACGTGTAGATGATATAAACCTACATGTAGATAAAAGATGTTAAAACTAAAATTCTTAAAAAAAAATATTAAAGGATTTCTCAGTATCGATAGAAAAATCTAAACCTAACATTATATCCCTAAAGCAAAGATTAAAAATGTTACAAGCTAAATGTTTGCATGCCTGTTTGATTGAGCTTTTCAAGGATATAGCAGTAGTAAATGCAATCAACTGTCAACTCTTCTGGCACAAATTTAAGCAAAACTCAACTAAACATGTTCATGGTGTTAAAATTGAAAAATCACAAATATCTGCTGATGGGACAAAAGAAAAAGACTTTCCATTAAACTGCAAGCCAACAGTATGATGTATGGTTGAATTACACAGATAAACAGGCTACATGTATATCTTGCTTAAGTTACATAGGTCTATTAATTTAGAAATAATATATCCCAAACTGTGATTTTATCGCTCAATAAAATCACTGTTTGGAGGTCGGATGTGTGGAATTACGAGGGCAGAGGGCGTAGCCCGAGTGATATAATGATGCACATTCAATCAACAAACAGTGATTTTATCCACTGATTCCAAGCGATTTGGATTTATTATTTTGATTCTAACACGACATCCACAAATAAAATTTTAATGCTGCCATACCTTATATATAGCTTAATTGCGCCCGATTTGTTCCGTACTCATTTTCAGCGCATCACATTTTTAGTGGTTACTTTGCGTGTATAATGATAACATCACATGTCTTAATATAGTATGTCAAACACTGATTTTATTGCATAATAACACACACTTTTGGTTCTTCTATGTTCAATAGTGAAAAATGCGGGTCATGTTAGAATATTAAGTAAAATATGTTATTGACCCTTTGTTTTCTGTTACATAAAAGTAAATTATCAGATATATTCTATCTGCTATTTAAAATCATTCTTAAAGATATTAATCACTTCTTTAGCTGTATGTGCGTTTGTGTGCACACCTGTGAACTTTATTGGGGTGAGGGGATCGCATTTTAATAATTTTTATTATTTGCAGGCCTTATTTTTTTTATTTAATTACTGACTGATTTATATAATTATAAGGACTGTAATTAGAGTTGTAAGAATAGCATGAGCTTAGAAGCTTAGAACATCTATTATCATCTTTCTCATACTTTTGGCTTAATTAAGTAAAGAAGATCCTGGATAATGCTTAAATATATAGAATTTGTACACAAAAGCACATCCTAGGAATTATCTAAGTTTTCAAATTAAGAAAAGCTTATGTATAGAATAGATGTAAAATAAAATGAAAGTATTCCCATTTTCTAAAGGCTTATATTAACAAAAATAAATGTGTCTTAGATGGTTTTGTCATTATGTAAGTTTACATTTTGAATTGGGGAATTGGGAAAATTTACCTTTGATTCTTGCAAAAGCATACATGTTAATGCATATTTGGTACTTATGATTGGTTTGACAATCTGAACTGTGTGTCACATGGAAAAAATATTATATAAAAAAGGGAATTTCTTTAAAAAAAAATCATTTGACTAAAATTATATTTTAACAAGGAACATCGCAATGCGATGCAACCAGGTTTTCAGCAAAATATTTCACAGAAGCTTTGTCATGAAGGGGCATTTGTTTTTAATTGAACTTTTAGGAGGAATTATGGCTTTTTTAATATTCCTCAAACAAAAATGATTGAGAAATTTTATGTTGTCTATTCGCCTTTTTTTCCCAAATGTTTTAGAAAGGTAAACAGTACTTTATTTTTGCTTAATTTTTGCATTTTTGCGTCTCTTGTCATTTTCTTTTGTCAAAATATTGGCGTGTGGTGTTTTGTGCGATATCAAGAAAAGTATGTTCACAATTTTAAAAAAATACTTGAATGATGTCTTGGAAGAAACATGGAAATTTAGTGAGCGCCAGGGCACTTGATGACAAAGCTTCTGTGAAAGTTTGGTCAAAATCCATTGAGAAATGTAGGAGAAGTTGAGCACTGTAGAAATTGTTCACTATATATTCTGTATAAGGAAAAAATATACAAAGGGCCATAATTCGGTCAAATATTATCCAATCACAAAACCCCGACAATATGTGCCAGGTACTTGAAAACAAAGCTTCTAAGAAAGTTTGGTCAAAATCCGTTGAGAAATGTAGGAGGAGTTGAGCACAGAAGAAATTGTTCTCTATATATTCTGTATAAGGAAAAAATATACAAAGGGCCATAATTCGGTCAAATATTATCCAATCACAAAACCCCGACAATATGTGCCAGGCACTTGATAACAAAGCTTCTAAGAAAGTTTGGTCAAAATTCGTTGAGAAATGTATGAGGAGTTGCGCACAGAAGAAATTGTTCACTATATATTCTATATAAGGAAAAAAAACAAAGGGCCATAATTAGGTCAAATATATACCAATCGCAAAACCCTGGCAATATGTGTCAGGGCACTTGATGACAAAGCTTCTGAGAAAGTTTGGTCAAAATCCGTTGAGAAATGTAGGAGGAGTTGCGCACAGAAGAAATTGTTCACTATATATTTTATATAAGGAAAAAAAACAAAGGGCCATAATTAGGTCAAATATTATCTAATCGCAAAACCCTGGCAATATGCGCCAGGGCACTTGATGACAAAGCTTCTGTGAAAGTTTGGTCAAAATCCGTTGAGAAATGTAGGAGGAGTTGCGCACAGAAGAAATTGTTCACTATATATTCTATATAAGGAAAAAAACAAAGGGCCATAATTAGGTCAAATATATACCAATCGCAAAACCCTGGCAATATGTGTCAGGGCACTTGATGACAAAGCTCCTGAGAAAGTTTGGTCAAAATCCGTTGAGAAATGTAGGAGGAGTTGCGCACAGAAGAAATTGTTCACTATATATTTTATATAAGGAAAAAAAACAAAGGGCCATAATTAGGTCAAATATTATCTAATCGCAAAACCCCGACAATATGCGCCAGGGCACTTGATGACAAAGCTTCTGTGAAAGTTTGGTCAAAATCCGTTGAGAAATGTAGGAGGAGTTGCGCACAGAAGAAATTGTTTACGCCCGCCCGCCCGCCGCCCGTCCGCCCGCCCGTCCGCCCGCCGACATACCTCAATCTAATAACCAGATTTTTCCTTCGGAAAACCTGGTTAAAAACATAAAATTTGAAGGTTCTTCACTGAAATATCCAGGCAATATGTTAAATTAGTTCATACTAAACACAACTAAGCTTTGATCTGTTCATTTGACCCATTACAATTATTAGAATTTAAAGCAAAAATTTAGTTACAACCCTTTCGCACCAAATAATTTTTTGATTTTTTTTATTTTTTTGGTGCGAAAGGGTTGTAACTGAAACTTTATCAAATATCTCTTTATCCTGGCAAAATAAAATAACCTTTCCAATCAATTATATATCAGTAAATGAATGAAAGCCAAAAACCAAAATTAAAGAAGTATTTATTAGAATGTAAAAGAATAAATAAGTTTTTTGTCTCTCCTGAATAATTTCAAAATATTGAGTTACAACCCTTTCGCACCAAGGCATCGAGATATTAAATATATAACTTTAAAAACAGATTAAGATTAGAGCATGTTGCTAAGTAAGGAATATAGCAGTCAGTTTTAAATCATTCAATTATCAATAAATCATTCCTTACATTGCCAGCTAAAGGTGAAGACATCCTGGGCTTGTTGACAACAGGAAGTACACTGTTAGCAACTGGTTCCGCTCGTTCTATATAAGCAGCTGGTGCCCAGCCTTCCTTCTCATCTATCTCTATATACCACCAACCGTTCTCATTCTTCTCTAGTACCTACAATAACAACAAATGAGCCGCGTCATGACAAAACCAACATAATGGGTTTGCGACCAGCATGGATCCAGACCAGGCTGCTCATCCGTGCAGTCTGATCAGGATCCATGCTGTTCGCTTACAAACCCTATAACAATTAGAGAAACTGATAGCGAACAGCATGGATCCTGATCAGACTGCGCGGATGCACAGGCTAGTCTGGATCCATGCTGGTCGCAAACCCACTATGTTGGTTTTGTCGTGACGCGGCTCAAATATACTTAAAATATGTGGTTGTGCCATTAAAGTGAATAGGTCTAAAACGGAAGGCCTGTAATACAATAAATAATTGCATTGGAAGTATTTAAGTATTGCACATAACCACAAAGCACTAAAGAATTATATACTGATGTTGTTCAATTAGAAAGTGCAAGATACTTTATCAGAAATTACATATATTTATATTACAGTTAATAAAATGTTCTAGAACAAAATATTATTATTCATCACTAAATCACTTAGAACTTTATAACATTATACATAACCATTTTTTTCAAAGGTTATATTTTTATAAGAATATCAAAAGGATACATTTTTTTTAAATCAATTTTTTGAATAATGTACTTATGAAAAACATATGTTCATTGTAGACCAAACCACTTTAATGAAGGTTATTCTAATGTATAGAACAGTTCACATTTCAATTCTGCTCAGTCTACTTAATATTAATTATAAAATTAATATCACTTTATTAAATAAACTATGTCATTAATTTTTTAATTGTTTGCCTAGACCATTGCCATTGATAAGGTACATTCTGTTCATTTAACTTAACACTTTAACTAAAATCTTGTGAAGTACTGGTTGGATGGATAGAATCACATTGCCATAGGCAGGCTACTGGTTTAAGTCCTTACATACAGCTATTGATTGACTCAGAAATATAACAAGAGAAATTAACATAACTCAATAAACTAGTATAAAGATTCATGAACAGAACATTTATTTCTTTTTCTGACTTGAGCATAGCTAATCGTCTACGAAAATAATGATTGCAAAAGATGCTATCCAGAACTAGGCAAATGTGGGTTTTTCCAAGCTAATCCCCCGGTACAAAAAAAACTTTTACTGTTATAGCTTCGCTGTGCACTATCACAATGGATTAGCCAATCTTTTGGGCTTATTTTGGAAGCTGTAATTGTACCGCAGGATTAGCTGGGAAAAACCCAAAATATATACGTAATTCTGGAATAAGTCTATTTATGACATATACCTTGACAATTTGTCCTTCCTGGAAGCTGATACCGTCCCCGACAACATCAGAAAATGCTGCTATGGTTACGTAATCTGTACAGAACGACTCAGAATGTACAAGTGGAGGTTTCTTGGTGGTTGGTGTATTAAAACCTAGCGGACTTGGCTGAAACACAGAAATTGTAAACATAAGTTTAGCTTCTTAAGTTATTATTTTTGATTGAAATCTTTAACTAACATATTCTTCTAAAGTGCATATGTAGATTATACATACAAATGACTGAAAAAAGAAATTAGGTGTGCTGTGGGGTTGCTTGGGGGCCAGGGTAACATACTGTGTAGTCATTATTAACATAATTATATATATACATATATTTATGTAAACTAAGTACACTCAGGATAAAACATAAAAGTAAAATTTTGAAATATAAATATATTAATTTTGATCTTAACGTTGATCTTAAAAGTACTGTGTGAACCGTGTGCCAGGATATAGTACATCATTATACATCACATGTTCATGACATGACACCACTTAAAAAAGAAAGTTGTATATAACGATTTCATGTTATGACTCATCTAAATAAGTCATTTACGAGCTATTGTGTTGTATTAATAATCATGTTTAACTTATTTAAACATGACAATGTGATTAAATACATGTACAATGTATGTCCATGTAAAAACATTGGAAATTGTTATTACTAATTAGAATAACAAAATATTTATTAAATAAATAAACATATTACTAATACCAAGAGAATTTCAAAAAATAAATTGAAAAAAAAAAATGTCTTTAGTTATAACTTAGATGCAATTCAACAAGTAATTTTACATGGATTAGTCCACTTTTCAATCTTGAGAAATTCCTTCATCATTCTTAGGGAAAGGTTTAACAATTTTATTTTAGCTTGATCGTGATGAAAGTTTGAAGCTTGTTTAAACTCAAATTGGCATCCTGTAACTAAGCAGTATGTGTTTTATATGAGGAAACAAGGTTGTGACCCCATAAGGGCTCAAACCCGCAATCAAAAAGATTGGTAAATTACATAAAAGCAAGACGATATCATAAATCAATGTCTGACCTTTATTGACGGTCTCGGAGGAGGCCGGGTAGATCCGTATCTCTTTAATGATCGAGATTTCATGTTCTGTATACTTTCGTATACTTTGTTAGTTTCCGCGCATCCTTTCTTGTCTTCTCGGAGAATCTTACTCAGTTCCTGAACGCTGTAGATGTTTTCTTCTTCTTGTGGCACGATGTAATCGTCGTCGTCGTCATCATCAAATATATCATCGTCACTCTCAACCTGTGAAATCGAAGGCTGTGTAACTAGAGTGGAAGGTGTCTCCGAATCGTCCTGTGAAAATACGATTTCTAAATAAATTCTTTGATTGCAATAAACAAAGCTATAGAATATACAAACCTTACACTTTTCTAGTAAAAGCAGTAAAAAGATGGACTTAAATAAGTAGAGGTTTTTGTTTTTAACTTCATTTATTTTTATTTTTTTTTGAGAAAACAAAATGAGATTTATATGTATATAAACTATGTACTCTTTTTTAATGAGCAAAAAAAATGTACTTTATTGAAAGAACAATTCTCTTTCGTAACTGTCAATAACAGGACACTGAACAGAATATGAAATCCATTTTGCTAAATTTGTTAATAAAACTGTTAATGTCAATATTAACAATGCATCAAAATGAACAAAAAATATTCCAACAGAGTCAAAATAGTTAGGACAAAAACAACATGCTTCCACCTGGTCCATAAAAATTTGGTTTTCATATACTAGTAGCAATTTTTACCTCCCCTGTCTGCCATTTTGAGGGGTTTTCCCATATGTTGTAAAAATCAGAACTATTTTTATACAAAACCAACCTTGAGCAAATCACTGATATCCATTAAAGATTTAACAATCTCCGGTCCACTAGTCATCCTGTTATTCATTGGCTCTTCATTTTTCACTACATCAATTCTTACTCGGTCATTTTTCACTTTGTCATTTTTCTCTTTATTGTGTTTATTTTTCTTGACAACTTTCACTGACTCGGTTTTCAGCAGAAATGTTGCAGGGACATAGCCTTCTTGTCCATTGTACCTGAATGTATAAATAACATTAGTTTACTTAGGGCAGTAATGGGTTAAATTCTTAGATAATTTAATGGGAGTTAACCTATTACTGCACTAAGGTGATGCATTAGATGCTAATATATGTTATAGGGAACTAGATGTTATAGGGAACTAGATGTTATAGGGAAATCGGGAAATATGGCTTTTTCCCACCTTATCCAAGGGTACAAACAAACTTTTACTTTTAAAGCTTCACAGTGAACTACTGTTCACAAAAGAGTGAGCAGCATGATGCGCTTAACATCAATATATTTACCAAGTTATTACGGGAAAAGTTTTTTATCCTTGGATTAGCTCGGAAAACCCCCACATTTCCAGAGTTCCCGAGTATCTCTAATAGTTCATAACACTTTATATTATCTGTTAGTAAAAGCTTCCTT